TGTCCATATAACTAAATGTGCCCCTTAGTAAATACATAAATGTACGTAGATATGTATAACTCCCTCATACCCATATTGTGATTGCTTAACTACATTATATATATAGCAGCACATAACTTATAATTATGCTGTTAGAGACCCAATTCTAATCTGAAGAAATATACCTTAGTTGATCTAGAAAATCCCAAGGGAAGTTTTATGGAAGGTTAAAAATAAAAAAGTTGCCTTAATAAAATATATAATAAAATATATAATAAAATATATAGTAAAATATATAATAAAATATATAATAAAATTTTGATATTTCAAAATCCACGAAAACAAATTAAAAAGATGTTTTATTGTTTGATAGTTTGAGAAGAGAACATGATGCAGATAGAGGAACAATAAAAAGTTAAAATCTAAGAAGGGCACTAACCACCCTGCAGGAGCTTAGTTTTATGTTGTTCAAAGAGAATTTTTAAACCATCTTTTAGGGAGCTTAGCGCCCATCTTCTATTTTAATTGTGAACATGTTCTCTTTGTGAACATTGTAAAAAAAAAAAAAATTCCGCGGATTTAAAAAATAGTCGTGGATTTTTAAATTTTAAAAATCGAATTATGTTGGAGGAGAATTTTTGAAAATTCTATTTAATATAAACCTTCCTGGGGTCACGCGAGGTCCCACAAAAAATGTAGGCCCGATCAGTTCAGCCGTTTTGACGTTTATTGGATGCAAACAAACAAAGATGAAACAGACACCCAAAGTAATGTTTTAAGATCACGTTTAAGGCATTGTACAAAATTCAAATTTCTAATCGTTTTCACTTAGGTCATTAAATTCTCTTTGTGAGTTGCTCTGCATAGAACTCCCCCCCCCCTGTAAATCCACTGTAAAGCGTACACCTTAGATCAATCATATTTCTATAGATGAATTATTTTATTTATCAGTTCCCTCTTGGCGTATAATTTACCCTTCAAATCCACTCTACTGACTCTCAACGCCCCCCCCCCCCAACTCCCCCCTCGTCGACCAATAATCAAATCCTTTCTATGTTTATCAAACCCCTGTATTATTTCCCACCCTACTCCATCAACCCAGATAACTATTTGATACCAACCAAGGTACTAATGTAAGGAAAGTTAATTACGGTCCTTATACTCTTCGTAAATATTGAAATGAATCAGTGTTGTTTTTGTATCCAAGGAGGTTAAAAGCATTTAATTTTGATAATTTTATAAATTCACATAATAGTTTCCTGTGACCAGAATATTTCATAGATTATTTTTGTGTCCGTCTTGTTTTTACTTTTCCGCCCAAAGACAGTACACTGCAGTACAAAAAATGCGTACACCTCTGAAATAACTTTCCTTGCATTAGAACCTTGATACCAACGATCAAATCCAATATCTTGGTTGGGGTCGCCGGGTTGTATACAGTTTTAACCCACTACAAAAAGCTAGGGGAGGGGGGGGGTGGATAGGAGCCCCCCCCCCACTCCAGTATTTAAACCATAATAATGCCCTAATTTTTATATTTGTAGAGATATGAAATAAAATAAAAAATAAGATGGCATTAAACAATGGGACTATCTTTACAAGTTATCATCATTGCATCTCCATGCCTGGACTCTTCGCCAATTTTCTAGTAAGAGGGAGAGATATATTCTTGAGACCCCCCCTCCCCTGCCTTATCTCGGGGCTAGGCTATAATTCATAGATTAAGACTCTCTACCTTTTTTCTCAGCTTGTAACTCACAATTTTCTATAAAAACCTTTTAAAAACTTTAAAACTACATCAAGAAAAAATATAATAATAGGTACATAAGTACTTGATTGAAAGTATTTCACAATGTTTACATGTAAAAACTATGTTAGCTAGCAGATGTGTGTCTTTCTATGAGACTATTGAAGCAAGTTCTAAGCTTTGCATTAGATTTCTTTCTAATTTATGTAAAAATGACCTCAACACAGTTCTTGGCAGAAATTTATTTTGTATTGCAAATGATTGTTCTGTAAATCCTTCGGATCTTAGTAAAATGTTAGTTAAGAAACAAATGAAATATTTTGATGTCCCATTGGAACATGAATGGAAAGTTCCGGTTTTACAAGAACTTTTAAATACAAGAATGAATAATTTATATGTTGAAGGATTCGATGATTACGTAATAACTGATATGATAAATATGTTATGTAGAGAGTAAAAATCAATGTTTTCTATTTGTGCATAATTTTGCATATTTTTTCTCTTTTCTTTTGGAAACCTGTATTTTCAAATAATTTATTTAAACAAATTTAAACTACACCCGTTTATATATGTATTTATATCTTTGTGTGTGAATAAATCTTTATAATAATTATTTCTAACTCTATAAAAAAGGCCAAACATACAAAAATTAAACGTGTTTTTAAAACAAATGCATATTGAAAGACGTTGATTATTTTTGCCTTCCATTGGTAAAAAATATTAGTAAACTCAAGTAAACTTATACATTACATAGCACAGAATAAATACTATAAATTGATAAAAAAAAAAAATTTATAATTTGCTAAAAAGTTCAAAATTGAAATAAAAAAGTTTATTATGACACAAATTCGAGGATTAACATACATACATAAACTCATATATATATATTTCAAAATTATTCTAATGGTAAAAACACATTCATGTTTATTCTAAAGATTTATATATCTTTAGATATAGATAGATAACTTTCGTATGACTGCCAATTTCTTTATTTAGTTTACATTCATACATCTTTAAAAGTACATTTATATATATGTACATTTACATTAAATATTAAATTATTTGATCAAAAAACTTTTCTTTATGAACTTTCAACTTTTTAAAAGTTTCGAATCAAAAGTTTTATAAGTTTAACGATAAAAATGTTTTATTTTATTTTGCAGCATCGAGTTATTTTTTCTATAAGTTTGTGCGTTTCTATACAATACAGAAATTAATTTATCAGAGCTGAAAACTTTGGAATGGTGGATATCGAGATTAATGCGTGATCCTCTCTTTTTCTTAATATCTCGAGACTAATCTAATCTTGTGCTTGTATCCTGAAAAGTGTATAAAATTCAACCAATCAGTGTCACATATATGAAGCCGATAAATTTGAAATTTTGCCCGCCATTTTAGGTTAGAAATGGGAGAAAATCTCTAATTAAAAAAAAGGTTTTTGATTTTTCTCTACTATATCCAAGAAAGAACGGTTTAAGAAGAAAATCAAAAGTGTGTCCATTTGATACTCAAATTAAGTAATCAGGATTAAGGATATATCATTCTAAAGTTTTTTACTCCGAAGGCACTGTGCAGAAAAACAAATATTATGTTTCTGTTTCCTATTGTTTTTTTTTGCTAGCAATACAAATTTCTGCACGGGTAGATATAAATATACCTTAAGATTAAATTGTATCAAAGTTCCAACTTTTAATAGATTATTTTCAGGTCCTCTTTATTATCTTTAGTATAGTTATATTGGCTTAGAATTGAGTTTCTAATAAAAAAACGTTGATATATTTTCAAAAGATGAAAAAATCATTACAGTTAGAAAGTTAGTACGAACCAAGGTTATAATGGAAGGAAAGTTAATTGCGGTCAAGTAATCTCTGCGTACATATTGAAACCAGTTCTTTCTTGGCGGAATGTGTAAACAAGAATAAATGCATCAGTGTTCGCTTATTATCCGAGGAGGACAAATGCATTTAATTTTGAAAATTTTGATAATTCACATAATAGTTTCCTATGACCAGAATATTTCATTGATTTATTATGTGAAAGATGGATCCCTCGTCAGACTGTGACATCCGTCTTGTGTTTACATTACCGCTCAGAGACAGTACACTGCAATACAAAATATGTGTACACCTCCAAAATAACTTTCTTTGCAATATAACCTTGGTACGAACTACGAATAATGTCCAGCATAAACATAATTGAACAAAAAACTACAGAAAACAATGCTTTTTAAACTTTCTCTGAAGGGACCTTTAACGTAATATCAAATGACCCTCCCCCTCCCCCTGTAAGGAGTTACATGCCAGATTAACAACGGTACCTTAACATCTTCATGAGGATTTTTTTCTTTTCTTTTTAAATTGGTTGAAGTTGTCTTTGCTGCTTGAAACTGCTAAAGTCGTGTCTCATCTGTCATGTTTCGTTAGACACCCTTTATCATAAGTAAACATAATACTCTGCAGTACACATGTGATGATTTTATTCTTCATTAATGAATCCTAAAAATATATTTGCAAAATTGCAGTATGCCATATATGCAGCGTACTGCAGGGAGGGCGTACAAAATATTAGATTATCTACACAATCATTAGCTTTATCAAATGAAGGGGTAGTTGCATTGTTAATTTTAACAAATGTTGACATAATCTGTTTTTAGAATGCAAGTAACCTACAATGTTCATAACACAAAACAATTTCAACATAAGAAAGAAATTTACTTTCTGTGTATAGCTACTAGTACGTGTACGACTTTGCAGCCTTTGTTCCCATCTAGTTTTAAAACGTATTTCTTACTCTCAAATTGAGCTCTTTGGGAGCTTTATTTGAAAACATGCTAGATTTTAAACTTAAATAAAATGAACTTTAATCTAAGAAGTGTATAAAAAGATGACAGACAGAAGACGTTAAAAGGGCACAACATTTTTTTTCTTCAAATTATCAACTATGTTATGATTTTGCAAATTACTTTTGTACCGTTATGTTACATTTTTACAAATATTTAAAGACTTTTTCATATTTATAAATCATTTAAATGTTTTCATCTTTTCTTTTTCAATATTTCAAATACTTCTCGGAAATATTAAAACTAAGTTAAATTACGCCTAATGGGAGATACAATTCCTTGAAATCTACGCATTTCTTGAATTTTTATTACGTATTATCAGAAATTAATTACGAACTGTAAATGCGGGAAAAGGATTATCGAGGGGGGGGGGGGGGTCAAGAGAACGTAGTAGAGGGATGGGGGAGAGGGTTGATACCTATATAAACACCAGATAATCATTAATGTTTATCAGTTGTTTCACAGCTTTCTAACTATAAATAATTACCCAGCCATTTATCAATTTAAGATGGATCTCATTCCAATTTCAACACGAGACCTCTTCTTCAGTGATCCATTTTTCCGTTCCAGCTGGGACGATTTCGGTCGAGTTAGAGAGGGTATGATGGCTGAGCCGAGAGATATGTTGCGTCGGTTTGAGGACGAATTCATGAATGCTAGATGTATGATGGAGGGTGGCATGCCTTGGAGTTCTAAGTAAGTTTATATTTTTAATTTATGTTTGATTAATTATAGATCTTTTAAGTCGTTTCTTAATTTCATTTTTTAATTTGATCAGGTTTGGATCGGACAGTTTGATGTTCCCCCGGCGTGCAATGTTGCCCTCTATGACCAACCCCCTGGTGAACATGTTTAAGGATGTCGACTTGTTCACAATGCCAGGAGACTCGGAGCTCATCCGGTGCACCCAAGACAAGGATAAACTAGAGGTAAGGTTTAGAATTTCCGAGCTAGTAACTTGCTTGTATGGACATTAGGATTAAACTATGTCAGGCTGAAAAGCCTTCACCTATAAGGGATTGTGATGACATACCCCTTGTAGGTCAAGGAGCTGTTGGACGCATCCCTAGCTGTATGATATGATATGATATGGACACTTTACTCAATATCCAATTGGGAACTTTTATTTTATGGATCATCTTTTCATTGCAGTCATTCTACTGTACGTAATTACCATATGCAGGATATTGAAGAAAGTTTAGATTAAATTGAAGATTAATATAAGAAGAGATCAAGCATCGACCTCGGTATCCAAGAGTTGTTAAATAATTCCAATTTCTGAACGCTTATTCTAAACTTCATTTTTTATTTTTTTGTATTAATGGTGTGACCTTTCATATTCCAAACTTAGTCTTTTTGATCTAGAACAGTTCATAGTTCATAGTTTAAAATATCTAAGGCTTACGATACGATACGATACGATGGTTTATCAATATCAGAAAATAATTGTTGTGAACTTGTGTGAGTGACATGTGTTTGTTAATTTCTTTTACCGCTGATGACTTCGTAATTTGAAATTATGAAATTGTTTAGTATTTTACAATTTTTTTATGTTTCTGTTTAGAAAAAGGGGTTTAGTAACTTAGGGTTTGAATTTAACTTTTATAAAAGAAACTTTAGGAATTTAATTTAATCATATCTAGGTTAGCCTGGACACCTCTATGTATCGCCCCTCGGAGCTGAGCGTCAAGTGTGAGAATGGTTTGTTGCATATCAGAGGCTGCCATGAGACTGAAGAGGCCGGAGGTCGGAGAAAAACGTTCCGGGAGTTCAGACGCCATTTTACTCTACCTGAAGGGTGTACACCGGAAGATCTGGAATCCAATCTATCAGCTGATGGTGTTCTCGTGGTCAGCTGTAAAGGACATCCCGCCATTGAAGAGAAGAAGACTCCAGCCGTAGAGTCTGGAAAGAAGTAAAGACGACATTTAAAATTTGATTACATATTTGACATTTAAACAGCACACACGCATTGGATTCGTACAATTTTAATGTTTTAGTTCTGCGACGAGTTTATAATTATATTTGATATCATGTTTTCTAATATCATATTAATAAAGTTATTTCATTTTAAAAAAATATTTTATTGTATTGAGCAGTGCTCAACAGAGTTAATATTATGATTTTTATTTGAAGAACACTTTTGAATAGCAAATCATTTTAGACAGCGGACTCGCAAGACATTTATACTTGTTATGATAAAAAGATCGTAATCTAACAAAATTCAAGCTTGATACAGACCATCATTGAACTTTTAAATTCTTGATATATATATATATATATCTATATTATAAAGTTATGCTCATCGTTTTAACTTTAAACCCAAAAAACTTGCGAATTACATAGTGCTTAAATTTTATTAAACAGGTTATAGATTTTGTTTAAATAAACTAGTTTTCACCAGTTGAAGTAAAATGCATCTTGTGTATAGTGCACAATTCGCACAACTACTCTGTTACAAACTACATAGTAGGATTCAGAAATTTATGGTTCCAAACTAGTAAGGTTCAGATATTTCTGGTTTTAAACTAGAAAGATTCAGATATTTATCATTTCAAACTAGTAGGATTCAGATATTTATGGTTTCTAACTAATAGAATTTAGTTATTTATGGTTTTAAAGTAGTAGGATTTAGATATTTATGGTTCAAACTAGTAGGATTCAGACATTTATGGTTCCAAACTAATAGGCTTCAGATATTGTAGAAATTTGAAAGAAAGACAAGTTTCTAGGTTAAAATTAAGAATATTTTGATAAGACAAAAGTTTAAAGGGATTGTAAGCGTAATTTCAAGTGACCCTCCGTGCAAAGGGGACAATGCCTGATTCACAACGGTACCTTTGAAACCTTTATTCGATCAATATATTGTCGTTAATCCAGGTTTAAAAGTATTTAATTCTGATTATTCCTAAACATTTTTCCAGAAGTTGAAATTTACATTTCACAAAAATTCGTTTCATACTTGCTCCGACAAATTTGTTAACATTTTTGAACATGCCAATCTTTCTGACATTGGACATGTCACTCAATAAACACACTTGAATAAAGACACTTGAAATTGCGTATACCGTCCTTTTAAACACAGGGGATATTAGTTCCAAAACTAACACTTGGCCCATTTCTAACACTGAGTGTTTATAGAAAGGGCCAAATCTGAAAAGTTATCTTTTTTAAAAGTATATCTTTAAATCCATTAAATTAGACTGTTCTTTTATAATTTAAAAATCATTACAGCATTTAGAAATGAAAATTTTAATATCATTTGTCCTTAAAATATAAATTTAATTAGAAATGCGGGAAACTGTTTGTTTAAAATGCTTGAAAATAAATCATTATTCTCTATTTTAATAGATAAAATGTGGAAACTTAGATACTAGAAATAATTCAGAAGTTATTTTAGTCTTCATAAGATAATTTTTGTTTTCAGTGATTCATTTTGTAAGTTATGAAAGTGAGTTTGTTTTGAATTGTGGATTATACTAAAAAACGGGAAAGTGGGTTTTGTCTCGAAAACGCGACAATGTTTCAAATTCTGGATATGTTAGAAAACTTAACATTGTCTTGAAAATAGTCAAGAGCTTTAATATAACAAGAACTCCAATTATAATTTTGATTTAAAAAAGTTTTAAATTGGGAATTGTTGTCCTCGTCATGTTTAATAAAATGTTGGTTTTTATTATCGACTTTTACTCTGGATATGGGCCAAGATCTCAAAAACCCAGTTTTTCAATTTGTGCCCATTTCTAACACTCAGTGTTAGAAATGGGCCAAGTGTTAGTTTTGGAACTAATGTCCCTTGAAACAAGGACAGTAAAATTAGTTCTGAAAGATGGAGTATGCAGTAAAACTTAATTATTAAAGAAAATGTCGGGCTCTCGAGGAAAAGAATACATTTAATAAATTCATGCAGAACTGGCCAAATATTTGCATAAATGTCCACTCTTCACGCTTCAGTATTTTCGCAAAGTTTTTGCAAAATATTACTTCTCCTTCTGCATGCTCGAGGTATGTGCAATTTTAGCAGAAAAAGCTACAAAAAAAAACTAGGAATATATAATTCTATTTGGTATTTGATCCATCACTTTGATCACTCATTTGAAATTCCAAGTTTCGGAACTTTGAAAATTTTGGATCAATATCAAAACAATTTTAGTTTTTGTCAAACATTTGCTGTAAATTATGTGTTTTGCGTATTTTTAATAAGTCATGTTTTTTCTGAACCCTACCCTATAAACTATGTAATATGTTTTATCTGAACCCTACCCTATAAACTATGTAATATGTTTTATCTGAACCCTACCCTATAAACTATATGTTATATGTTTTATCTGAACCCTACCCTATAAACTATGTTATATATTTTATCTGAACCCTACCCTATAAACTATGTTATATGTTTTATCTGAACCCTACCCTATAAACTATATGTTATATGTTTTATCTGAACCCTACCCTATGTTATATGTTTTATCTGAACCCTACCCTATAAACTATGTTATATGTTATATCTGAACCCTACCCTATAAACTATGTTATATGTTTTGTATAAAGACTGAACACGTTTTCAAATCCGAAGCTTTTTATATGTTTCTGTACAGTTCAGCTTGGAAAACAACCAGCCATTAAAGCAGAAACTTTCAGAGATAAAATGTATAGTTTAACAAAATTGAATTTGTATCAGAAATAGTCAATCTTTTAGATAATATTAAGTTCTGAAACTTTTTAATATACTAGACTGTATAAGGTCGCTTTCTTATCGAAAAATTCTAGCTTTTAATTGTCGCTCTGAAAGTGGTCATTTTTATTCATTCTAAAATTTTTGCTGATTTTTCTTTTAAATTGGCGCATTTTCAAAAAAAACTGTTGGTGGTTTACTTGTTCTATGTTCAAAATTGTTCAACTTAAAGACGGTCCACTCCCTGGGGTCATATAAGTTTTTACAAAAATGAATGCCCCAACGGTTCCGCCATTTTGATTGTTATTGGATGCAAACAGACACAAAAAACCCAGAACAGCAAAGTATATGGATCTATAGATTTGCTGCAAATTAAGCTAGAACAAAATCAATGCAAAACTTTACAATTTGCAAACGCAGTTGCAAAGTTAATCAAAAAAAGTGATTGTTCTTAAATGTGAGCAAACCTTTAGCTAAAAATGCCATTAATGATTCACATCGCTGTCAGAGTTATAGTTTGTAAACAGTGATTGCCAGGACCCTGCCATCATTTTTTCAGAGCAAGATTTACAGTTTGTCACTTGAAATTACCTCTGAAGACTCTGTAAAGTCGACCCTCTCTTTCAAGTTGATGCATAATATTCATATCTAATATATGAAAAGGGGAGCTAGGTACATATCTGATACATGAGAAGGGGAGCTAGGTACATATCTGATATATGAGAAGGGGAGCTAGGTACATATCTGATATATGAGAAGGGGAGCTAGGTACATATCTGATATATGAGAAGGGGAGCTAGGTACATATCTGACATATGAGAAGGAGAGCTAGGTACATTATTGATATGAGAAGGAGAGCTAGGTACATATCTGATATGAGAAGGGGAGCTAGGTACATATCTGATATATGAGAAGGAGAGCTAGGAAAATATCTGATATGAGAAGGAGAGCTAGGTCCATATCTGATATGAGAAGGAGAGCTAGGTACATATCTGATATGAGAAGGAGAGCTAGGTACATATCTGATATGAGAAGGAGAGCTAGGTACATATCTGAAATGAAAAGGAGAGCTAGGTACATATTAGCCCTGAGCAGATGCTCTGTATTGAACCTGAGATGAGAAGATTAGTGGAATGATTAACTAGGATTAAATATACACTCGGGAAAAAGGAGGAACACTAAGAAAACCAGGAAAACCAGGAGAAAGGAGATTCAACCAGCTGACAACTAGGAGATCCAGGAAACCAGGAAAACATGGAGAACCAGAAAAACTATGAAAACCAGGAGAAATAGAATAAATAAAAACTAGGAGAACCAGAAGAACCAGTAGAACCAGTTGAACTATGAGAACAATGAGGACTTGGACAACTAAGAGAACTATGAGAACTAGGAGAACTAGAAACAACTTGGAGAACCAGGAAAACCAGGAGAACTAGGTAAAACTAGGAGAACTATGAGAACTAGTAGGACTTGGAGAACTAAGAGAACCAGGATAAATAGGAGAACTAGGAGAACTAGGAGAACTAGGAGAACTTGGAGAAATAGAAAAAACTTGGAGAACCAGGAAAACCAGGAGAACTAGGTGAGCTAGGAGAACTAGGAGAACCAAGAGAATCAGGAGAACTAGGAGAACCAAGAGAATCAGGAGATCTTGGAGAACCAGGAAAACCAGGAGAAACTAGAAGAACTAGAAGAACTAGAAGAACTAGAAGAACCAGGACAACCAAAGGAAGCAGAAGAACCAGGAGAACCAGGAAAACCAGGAGAAACATGAGAACCAGGAGAACAAGGATAACCAGGAGAAACAGGAGAAAGTGAAGAACAAGGAAAACCAGGAAAATCAGGCGAACTAGGAGAACCAGGAGAACCAGGAGAACCAGGAAAACCAGGAGAACCAGGAGAACTAGGAGAACCAGGAGAACCAGGAGAACCAGGAGAACCAGGAAACTAGGAGAACCAGGAGAACCAGGAGAACCAGGAGAACTAGGAGAACCAGGAACCAGGAGAACCAGGAGAACCAGGAGAACCAGGAAAACCAGGAGAACCAAGAGAACTAGGAGAACCAGGAGAACCAGGAGAACTAGGAGAACTAGGAGAACCAGGAGAACCAGGAAGGAGAACCAGGAGAACCAGGAGAAACTGAAGAACAAGGAAAACCAGGAAAATCAGGAGAACTAGGAGAACCAGGAGAACCAGGAAAACTAGGAGAACTAGGAGAACTAGGAGAACCAGGAGAACCAGGAGAACCAGGAGAACCAGGAAAACCAGGAGAACCTTAATAACCAGGAGAACCAACCAAGGAATTAGGCTAGGATAAACTACCAGATTATGCAAACCATGTATCTAAGATATGTAGAGGTACTAACTATATGCATAGATTATACAGGGTGTACCGTCGATAAAT